GTGATGTGGAAAAATTTAACGTGCCACGTGAGCAAAATTTACACATTGGCATACCACGTCAGCTGTTTCAGTTAAGTTAACGTGCCACGTGAGCAAAATTTAACGGAAGGACTAAAAAGGGGCCGGATTTATGAACAGTAGGGACCAAAAAGGGGATTTTTTTGGTACAGGGACTAAAAAGGGGCTTTTTCCTATAGTAGAGGGACCAAAAAGGGTATTTAACCAAAAAAAAATCCCTAATTTCTAAAAAAAATGTATATCATGCAAATATGAATGCAACTAATGTAAGAATGGATGCCTAAAAGTTATTCTCTCCCCAAGACTTAAATCAAACATTGTCCTCAATGTAAAATAAAAGTAAGAGAAAAGGGAAACTTCCCAGGTTTTGCACTTAAAAATTTAAGTTCTAAAGTTGAGTTCTTTCAATTGGAGACTTTAAGCATGTGAATTTCCATAATCTCGTCCCCCAAACTTTTTCAATGACCTAGCCAAAATCAAAGAACAACAATTTATGCATTAACCTAGGCCATAAAGAGAAAATGATTTTAAAAAAAAATCTAAACTATTAAAATAAAAGATAAAGAAACAAAAGAAAAGAAAAATTTTATGCTTGGGTTGCCTCCCAAGAAGCACTAAATTTATAGTCATTAGCTAGACTTTCTACTACTCCAAGGTGGTTTTGGATCAGATCATAGGGCATGTCCTATCGTTTTCCTAAATCTTGGCTTTCTTGCCCTTAAGTTGAATCCACCATAAGATTTTCTCCAATGACTATTCTAAGGTGGTTTGGGTTTAGGCCAGTAGACGTGCCTTCCCAATTCTTCTAGGAGTGCTGCCTTTGATTCCAAGGAAGATGATGTGTTCAAGCAATTTATGTATTCTTTGATTAGGTCCTTTGCTTGAGTAGGGTAAATCTCAAATGGATCTTCATAAGTGTTTTTTGGCAAAATCTCATCAACCATAACAATAACAAAATAATCATTAAAATCAGATTTGGTTAAAGGAGACTCCCCATTGAACACTTCAAATGACACTTGAGATTTTTCCTCTTCTTCCTTAAGGACATCCTCTTGTTTAGTTTCTGCAAGCATAATTTCTACTTCTCCAAGTTGTCTTTCAATCTCTAAGGGTAAGATGTTTACCTCTTCTTCTTGATTTTTCATTGTTGCACTAGGTAACTCACCTTGTATCTCTTCAACAACTAAGTTGAGCAAATAACTTGATTGGACCTCCAGATTTTTATTCAAACATGTCTCCTCTTCTGGAGCTTGAAACCTTGATTATGGCTCCAATATATCTTCATTATTCCATGAGGTGTTTTGATCAAAATGGCATGTATTGGGATAAGAATTATACTGCTGACTATAAAACTCACAAGAAAAATTAACACACTTGTTAGATCGTTTAAAATAGCAATCAGAACTAAAATGATCACATCCACACCATTGACAAGTGATATTTAATCGTTCTACTATAGCCTTCTTTAATTTGATCCTTTCAATGACTGCTTGAAATCGTTCAAGTTCATCATCGTCAATTTCTGCTAGCAAGATAATTACTACTTCAACTTGTGTCCTCATCTCCGCCACAAGCCATTGATAATCCACATCAGTGTTTAAGACAACTCGATCCATAGTTAGACCTATAAAAATAAAAAGAAAAGAAAAAAAAAATCAAAGTAAAGAAATAAAAGAAAAGAAAACGTTTAAATTAAATCTAGAATTAACCAACTTTGATATTAATTAAATCAACAATCCCCGGCAACGGCGTCAAAAACTTGATGCACTAAAATCACCCTAGCAAGTGTACTAGTCGCTCCAAGTAATATGAGAGTGTCGAACCCATGAGAATTGTGTCTAATTAAGTACCAAAACAATTAATTTAAATTTATTTGAACAGTCTAAAAGATGAAATTTTAATTAAAATACAAAAAGAAACTAACAATTAAAATAAAACTAACCAAGATATAAAATACTAAGGCATTGACTTCACTATAATCAATCAATATAAATTATAGATTACCAAATTGTTGAGTGTTATTGCATGTGATGACGAATTTTCATAAATTAATTAACTAGCTTTCTCAAGTCAAGTTAATCCTTCACCGGTTTGTTAAATTAATCATATCTCTATATAATTTTAAACAAACTAATAAGTATTAGATTCTATGGAAACCTCTAACTTAAAAAGGAAGAGCTATTAACTTTTTTTCTCTTCCTTCACTACCAAATGTGAGCTAATTACCTCTCGGTCTCATAGTCTAACATACGATTTATATTATTATTGGTCTAATCTACGCAATTCTTTCTCAAGTTCATGCATAAATCACTAAATCAATTAAAAGATAATCAAGCTTTCAATGCATTAAATTCAATAATATAAACTCTTCATGCGAATAACTTTAATTGAAAGTATAAAATCACAAAATCTATATTGAATTGATTATGTTACATCATAATCTTAATAAAATAAATCAATTCATAATAAAAATAATAAAATTTACAATCATAGTTATGAACAAAGAAGAATAAAACCTAATTTAAGAAAATTACAATTCTTAATCTCCTATTGTTGAATCTTCTATCTTAACCTCCAAGAATGCTCAAAAGAGGGCTGCCACAAGCCTCCCAAAGCTCTCTCTAATTCTGAATTTGGATGGATATTTACAAGATTTTAGAAACCCTAATTGAAATAAAAGTGGACTTGGAACAGAAATAGGAAACTAAATTTTAGATGCTGATCGCGTTGTGCTGACGCTTTGAACTATGTGTTGACACAAAATAAGAAACAAAATTTGATTCTAGACGTTTAACGCATGATGCCGACACCCCAATCATGTGTCGACACTACATCCGTGTCAGATTTCTGGTCTCCTTTTGCAATTTTTTCAATGGTAAAATAGCAGATTTGGTTCCTGACTTCTGGATTCTGCACAAGTTGATCCTCAAGTCTTTGATATCTTCAATTTACTTCTAAAAAGTAGGATTTCTTCCAATTAAATCCTTTCCTACACAAAAAATGAAAACCATGTAAAATCAAACAAAATCCCATAAAAATTCCCTATTAATATGTATATAAATCTAGCTCATCAAAAAGCAGGTGGAATGCACCCTCAGCTCCTCAGGTCAGGTCTGGTCTATTACTTTGACCAGATATTAACCTAACCTAACAAACACTATAGTTTCCTTCGTCAAAAAATAAAAAATTGTAATCAATTTCTGTAAAATCAGATCATGCGGCGGCACCTTAAAATCAGGTGAATATAGATGTGTAAAATAGACCTGGTACAAATGAGAAATTTGACGAAATTCAGTAATCTACCAAAAACACTACCGACATCTGTCAAAATTCCCATCTGTACAAGCTCTTTTCCATGCATCTATAATCACTTCATTTTACAGTGGTGGCACAAAAAGTAGTACTTACGTGCATGATTTCAGCTTCAGCCCACAGGTATCATCTTCAATGCTGCAGCAACTGGCATGCCAAGGAATCCGAGAAAAATGCTGATAAACCACTGCGATAAGCTGAGAGGAGTTGTGTTCGCAAACTCACCCAGGAATTGAACAATTATAATTTGGAAGACAACAGTGCAAGCTAGCACAGTCACGAAGACATAATTCCTCAGTATGCCTTCGAAAACATTTATTTTTTCCATCTCTCTGGAGCTGATCTCATTGAAAACCTGATGACAAAGACACGCTTTAGAGTAAATCATACAATCTGAGTTGATGAAGTATTGGAGATCTAGCTAAACTACAGCCAGGCTTATATTCAGTCAAATGACTCAAATCCACACACATGGTTTAGTTATTAATATATTCCAAAGATTTTAAAAGTTCTTCAAATCACCGACTCAAATTATTATTAAAGTCAACTAATTTTAAATACTCATCATGATCAACCAAATACAATCTTATACTACTTATCAAGACTTACAGTCAATCATACTCAGAGTTCAGAGCCATGAATCTTAATAAGCAAGCTGTTTGTTACCATTAATCTAGCATAGAGCATAGCACAGCATGGATATTCAAAAATTGACACAGTGTGCACAAATGCATGCGTGTTTGTGCATGTGAGCACAAACTGAAGGAGCAAGTGTGTGCATGAGGATGAAAAAGTTCTAGTCGTAAGAAGATGTGTTTGCCTTTTGGAACTAATACATACACGCAAAAGTCTAATTGGAGCCAAATATCTTCCTTTAATTACTAACAAAATACCTAACTAGAGTCAAATATCAAAATATTAGACATACCTGGCAAAAGACAAATGAGTTGAAGATAAGCGTGTTCAATATCAAATCAGAATCTGGGCCATCAAGACAAAATGCAACCTTCCCTCTTGTCTGAAGGTACCATATGATAGCAAACTGATAGAAGGACTGTCCCAAGATATTCCTCCACATAACATTACTGATGAAGTTTCCCTTCCTACCAACTGGTGATCTCCTCATCAACTCATTATTAGGAGGCTCGGTAGCTAATGCAAGTGCTCCTAGAGTATCCATGATCATGTTCACCCATAGAAGCTGAACAGCAGTGAGGGGAGCACTTCCTGAGTTTGCAAATTAAATTCCATAAAAGGGTGGAATACATTAATGTCATATATAAGGTGCTACAGGAGTGTTGAATCCATTTGGCAACAAAAAGAGGGTCTCTTACCTGTCAAACAGGCTGAAGAAAAGTTGACAATTAGGGCAACTACATTGACGGTCAGCTGAAACTGAACAAATTTTTGTATGTTTATATAAACAGAACGCCCCCATTTGGCCACAGTTACAATTGTTGAGAAGTTATCATCTAGAATAATGACATCTGCACTTTCTTTGGCCACCTGTAAACACACATACATGTAAGCATATAGGATAGCTTTCATAAGGAGATCACAGAAAAGTGATAAGAAACAAATATATAACATATGATATAATCCTTCCGATCTAGAGTACACAGGGGAAACTAATTAAGTTGCAATTTTGAGAAATATTATTGCCTTTATGTAATAAAATTCAGTAAACTCAGGATAAACCATTGCATGCAATAATATCTCATAAAATAATAATCTTTAACAAGAGCCCTTAAGTGTATACTAGGGAAACAGTCACTATAAGAAACATATATGATAGCTAATCTATGATTTCACCTCTAAAACAAAATGTGTAGGAAATGAGTAACGAGGCCAGCTAGAACGTGTGTGTGTGTG